TATCGCCCTTCTTATGAAACAGGATTGTTCGAGGGGTTATCCACTGGTCACGGATCCTTTCCTTTTGAAGATAAGACGTTAGGTGTTCCGCAAGTATCTCGTGTAGGCGATGTCTTTCAGCTCGCAAGAAGTCGGCCGAAGCATGGTCCGATGGAGCCGTGGCTGCCTTCATGGTCTGGATCACTGCTGAAGGATGGTACGACTGAGACGTCTAGTAAGCACCGCCTTCCGTCGGTGAAAATTGTTCAATCTCCGATGAGTCGTACTTTGGGTGACTCCCATATCCCCCAATAGTGTTCTTTCTTCACGAGTTGCCATGAAAAAGTCGCGCGGCGGATTAAGCCTAACAAGACGATTAGCATTCTCATTCAGGAGACTTGATCCAAATCTAACTCCTATGCCTCCCTTATTCTGACATCCCATTTTTCGCCTTGATGTCACCCAAGACGAATCTATAGAAAAAATTTTCATTGTGGATGACTTTTTCCAAATCCTCATGAAAAGCTTCTAGTTTCGAGTTTTAGCTGCCGATTTTGTAGCAGTTGATGTAGTGATGGATTTTTGTGAGGATGGAGGGAATGGATAGTTAAGCGAGGCATCAGAACCCTATGCAAATGGATAAGATGGACAAAGATGGGTAAACAAAAAATCCAACGTTCTATAATGGAACTTTCTTACCACGAATAATGAGTGTGCCATCACTCAGCTGCCTCACGTTCGACTGGACTTTGTTTTCTGCAAGGCAATACGTGGTAGTTGATACGCTTTTCTAAGTCGAACTCCTTCAACTTGGGAGACCCCTGGGGGATAAAGCTCCGCTGTACTTCGCAATTCTGCACCCAGTGCCAACCCCGCACCACGATGGAGCGATAGACGGGGGATACCCTTTAGATTCGAGATTTCTGTTCCTCTGTCCCACAAAAAAACAAGCAAAAAATATGCTAAATAACTGACAAATTTCCAGTTTGCATGAATTTAATAAGTTGCTATACGCGGCATGAGACTTGGGTTACGATAAGTAGGCCCGTAGTAAACTTCCCGTTAGGTGAGATGATGATGATCTGACCTGACGGGGCTAGTCCAACTCTACCGAGTTCACGTAACGAACCCTCCGCCATAGTATAAGGATACAAAGCCCGCGGATGGATCACAGTCATGCGAAGTTCTGTGATGAGAAGAACTAAGCCCCTAAGGAGAGAGTTCGCCTGATGGGTCCTACAAAGGAAATAGTGTGTGTTTTATGAGAGTCCGTCAGGGGAACTCGTATGTTGCTCGGAATCAATTTACGAGTTCCCCTGACGAGGTGTACGTTTGCGCTAAATTTTCCCAAAATTGTCCATGTTTGAATAACACTATTTTTACAAAGTTGTGTTTTCGTTCGTGTTGAAGCTCCAGTTTCTTTCGAATTTTTCCTATTTAGTAGGTCCAGTAGAGGTACAACGTTTAAACAACCTACTAGATTCGATTTCTAGCGCAGCTCGCTAGAAATCGTAATCTAGTAGGTTGATTTTTAGTTCGTACGACTGACTGCGTCATCGTAAACATTTCCATAATTCAAAATGCGTCGGTTGTAATGCAGTTAGCAAAAAAGCGCAATTAACAGCATCAATTCGTAGGGTCAACAAACATATAATCATCTTCACATCAGCTGTCAATTCTCTGCGCTAGTGACGCTTGTACAACTATCGCTCCCCTCATTTCATGCAGTTCAATAAGGTCCTAAGGACCTTGTGGATCCCGAAATAAATTCCAATGTTGTAGAGGATCACGCATGCTTTGATGACCTTCTGCATCTTTGGAGGCTCCATCCGTGTGATGTTGTAGAGGATCCAAACGTCTCTTAAGCGCTCCAAATGCGTGCTCCACCACCCTGCGAGCTTTTGCGTGTTCCTTATTAAAAGCACGTATCTGTGCAACTCCGCTGTTCTTTCCCTATATGGAGCCATAACGCTTCTCGAGTTGGCGAACCCGGCGTATCAATATCCTGGTCGAGCG